ATTCACACCCTTGTATAGTCTTCTCCCACATTGTAGCAGAGTTTGTCTGTGTGACCAATAGCATAAAGCAGAAGTGATAAAATGCCCTTCTGAGATTGGGTTATAAAAGATAGTGAAGTCTGTCTTGGTCTCTCTCTCTCTCTTTCACACACACACATGCACACAGATACAAGCACACACACACACACACACACAGCACTCAATCACTCATCTAGCTCGGACTGATCCATAGAAGCTCATATGAGATAATAAACATTTGTTGTTTTAAGCTGCTAAATTAGAAGATAATTTATTAGACAGCCGTAAATACGAATACACTACTCACTTCCAAATGCCCTCTAGGGAAGCAGTATAGACACCAAGTGAAAACCACATGTCTGTGCTAAACGCGTTGGACTCTTCACTATGGGCAGTGGGAAGCCATTAACAGATTTTGGATAAGAGAGTGATACAGTTGATTTATGTTTTGGAATGATTACTTTTGCCTTGAATACAGTTTTCCATTCTCTTCTTTGGTCCTCCACTATTGCTTTTTCATCTACCTCTAAAATGAGTAAAAAACTATATGGTACTTGTTGAATTGTTTTCCTCCTGACTAGACTGGGAGCTACCTGAGAACAGAGACAAATTCTTAGTCATTTATAAATAATTCTTTGTGTTCCTGGAATCCTGCTGAGCGTGGTGAGAGGCACTCAGTAAATACTTGCTGATTAATTGAGCGATAGGAGGCAGGCGAACCTGGAGAAAGGAAGTTGGGTTAGCAGGCTATTATATTAACTCATTGGAGAAGTGATGAAAAAATGGACTTTAGAGACGTTAAAGAAGAAGACAGAAGAAATTAGTCATTTTACACACAAGCATACACACACTATTATAGTTAGTTTTGCAGGTGTAATCATCTATCAAAAACCCTAAACCTTTTTACTGCCTCCTGGTGTTGTCAGAGCTCTTAAGCCGAGATACAAGGGGGAGACTCCAGTAGTTAGAATAGTCTGGCAGAGCCCAGTAAAATTACTTGAAGTTTGTAGTTATAAAACAACAATACAGAAAATGACAAAAAATAAAATAAAATAACCAATAACAGTTTTCTTGCTCTTTCAAATATGATGAGTTAGTTTATACTAGGCTGATACAAGTTTCAATGGGAATAAGCAATATAAGATTGTACAGAAATAAACTCTATATTCACATAGAGTTATAAGTATATAGATATAAAAAATAAACTTTATATTCACACCAAGGTATAGGAGTATCTGAATTAAACAAAAATGCAAGTACAAGGAAATGACAAAGAGATGTCAATTGAAATCCTTTTTACACACAAAATAGCTTCACTGGAAATTCTGAATACACACTGGAGCTGTTGATAAAATTTACAAAAATCTCTTTTAAAACAAATGTCCTAAGCAGGCTGTTCTATTTAGTTGTTCAACTCTAAAAACAGGTAGGAATTTATGTCAACAGGTAAAATATAAAGGTATCACAAGAGTCATCTAAGTGTCTCATCATTCAGAACAATGGTTGGAAAAACGTGTCCAAATGCCCAACATGTATTCTGTATTTAGTTTTCTTATCTACAGTGCTTCCAATAAATAAATGAGACATCTGGTTTCATGATCTGCCTAAAGTCAGTCATTTCTTTGTACCTATATTTCCTTCAGTTTTAAAACAGTACTTCAGTTGAAATCCCTGTGTTGTCTTGGAAACCCAAAAATTATTGCCCACTTCCTGGTTACATAAGAGCAGCTCTTGTTTTGGTAAACTGGCCTTAAGTTTCATTTCCAAGTTTAATTTTATATTCTCCCAACACAAACACATACAAAATGGCAACCTAAAGTAATGTTACCTAATCAACTACATTTTATGAAAAAGATTAGTACCGAAGATATCTCTTTTCTATTTCATCATTTATTCCCTGATAGTAAGATCATTTCTTATAAATTCAAAGTATTATTAAAAATATTTGAGGGCCGGCCCGGTGGCTTAGCGGTTAAGTGCGCGCGCTCCGCTACTGGCGGCCCGGGGTTCGGATCCTGGGCCGGCACCAACGCACCGCTTCTCCAGCCATGCTGAGGCCGCGTCCCACATACAGCAACTAGAAGGATGTGCAGCTATGACATATAACTATCTACTAGGGCTTTGGGGGAAAAAAAGGAGGAGGATTGGCAATAGATGTTAGCTCAGGGCCGGTCTTCCTCAGCAAAAAAGAGGAGGATTAGCACGGATGTTAGCTCAGGGCTGATCTTCCTCACACACACACACAAAAAATTTGAGTTCCACAAAGTGGTTTTAGTTTGGGAATATGAAACAGAAACAGGATGATTTCTTAGGAGTTACCTGTACAGAAGAATCAAAATGATCTCTGAAGGATTTTGGTGATCTGATTAAATATTATTGATTTTTATTGGATTTTCCACCACAACTGCATTGATAAGGTATCTTTTCCTTAATGGTAAATTGCTATGCAGAGAAAAACCAAAACAAAACAAGAACTTCAAAAAAATGATTGAAAATATTTGCCTAGGTTATTCCCCTCTAGTTTTGCTCAAATAGCAGCAACTAAATACTTTTATTAACTAGAAATCATTTTTAGGGTTTTTTTTTTCCAGAAATAAAAATAAAGCTGGGATGAATCTCATGTTTTATTTGGTTGCTAGAATGAACTGGAATTGTAGAGTGTCTTCCCATCCATTGGAAAGTTATTTATTTTAAAACAATTCTTTCACCTTTTTCTCCTTGCCTTTATCGCAATTACTTTGTGGACAAAAGGAAGAAAGTTTCAAAACAGGAGTTTTGCACTATATCACCTCAGAAGTTATAAAAATATTTTTTAAGCCATGAATATCAGCATATTTTTCCGGAAACCCTTTGCTAAATCAGAATAAATCTGCTATGTTTCTGCAGGCTCAAATTTCAGCTCAGCACGCACCTCTGCAGAGAAAAAGTACTTTGTGCAGATGCTTCTTCGTGAACTTGCCAAGTTTTCGTAATATCCCAGAAATTAGATGTATAGGAATATTTTTGTTTTTGTCATTAGCAAAAACTTAGTAGCTCTAGTAGTTACCCAAAGTTAGACATTTGACTGAACAAATTGAAGAGAAAATATGAATTGCGTGGCCAGCCAAATACACCACCAGGGTAATCTACAATTATCTTTATATTGTGTACTCTTTAATCACTTTTACTCTCTCTGGTAAAAAAGGTTAGCCTGTACTAGGGATGACTGATCCTAGGCAAAAACTGTAAAGTGGGAAAAATTAAGTTGTCGGATTCCTGTATCTTTTTTCTCTTTTAATTCTATTCTTATTCAAGTCGTGCACAGGGAGAAAATGATACTATTTGTATAGTACACTGGGGTAAGCGACAGGACTGGGGTGGACTGTCCCTGAGTGAGCCCACCCCCTTGAAGGGGCGGTGATGCGTATTATGGCACACGTGTCCTTCATGGTGCATGGGCTGCCAAGCTCTGAGAGTCAAGGTGTAAATCCTAACTGTTTTGCTTGGTAGCTGCATGGCCTTGAGCAAGTTAACTTAATTCTAAGCTCCGTTTGTAAACATGGGGATTGTAGTTCCCACTTACTACTCCTTTGAGAATCACAGGAGCTAACATATTTGAAAGTGTGAGCACAACGTGTACACACAGTAGCTGCCAATATGTCTGCTTCCTTCCTTCAAGTCTCCCCCAACAAACCACACCTTGCAGTGTAGGTGCTCACATATTTGTCAAACCAACGACTGAAGAGGATATCATTGCAATAAAATAGGGGATAATGTGGGGTCAGAAGACCTCGTACACCAGAGAGCAGCGTTAAGCTACTGGGCAGAGGAAAGGGAGGGGCCGGGAGGTGAAATGGCTTTGTAACCTTCTCTGGATTCAAGTGGTGACAAGTGTCTTTTGCTACAGGAAATCATTTGACTGGAGGCCTTTGACAAAGTAGGCTGCAGGTTCAGGAAAAAGTCTAGTGCCTTGTTTGCCAGTTGAAATAGCTGAGGTGGTCATTTAAAGAGATTTTCTTTGTTTTGCAGTAGATTTATCTCTGTTCTGTTTAACCTTTCAATCCACATTATTCTTTTCCTGCAGAATAATCTTTTTACCAGCTTCTCTAGTTGCCTATCCTTCCCAGGATCAGGGGCATTCCACTATTTCTCACCTTGGATTTGGGAATACACATCTTTACATTTAAAACTGCAAATACTGTCGCACAAAAACGCAATGTGTTTGGCATGACGTTAAGGCAGAAGAGCGCATCGGAGTTTCACTCTGCCGTGAAATAGTGAAGGAGCTTGGAGAATGCTAAACTCACATAGAAATTTACACTGCCGTTCCCGTTTAATTTCCACTGCTGCTTCTTTATTTGATTCATTTCATCTTGACTGACTTACCTCTTCCTTTTTGCTCTCTTGTGGGTTTTTTTTTTTTTTTTTTTTTGGCTCATCAGAAAAAGGGCCACAGAAACTCCAAAGAGGCAAATTGGAAGGGAGGAAATGTCACAAGTCGGTTCAGCTTTCTGCTTCTAGATCCTGTGGGGATCCAGTCAGCAGGTGAATCCCCATCCCAGTTGGGTTACCTTCCCCAGTGCCCTGTCAATCACCCCCACGAAGCACTTCCCAATTCGCCTGGCGCAACCTCTTTCCACTCCTCCTACCCTCTCAGCTGTCAGGAAATCCTGGAGCAATCCTTGCCCTGGAGCCGCTTGTGTTTTTAATAACCATTGAGCTGAGTTAAGAAAACAAATAAATAAAACTAACACTTCAGGGGCCCTGCCGCAAAGCCCAGGGTTGCTGGTGTCCGCTGTGGACCAGAGGCGATGCCGCCTCCACCCCCTCACTCTCCAAAGACTAAGCCGGACCAGCAGCGCACAACTTGTTTGTTTGAAAACTGAGTGAGTTGGGTCCGTCGGCCTCATTCTGGGGGTACTTGTGTGTCGGAGAAGGGAGGACGTTCTGCGGTTTGAGGGCGCTTTTCCTGGGAAAGCCGCGCGGTTGGCAGCGCACGGAGGGGCTGGACGTCTTGCAGCGCCGCACCCATCCCCGCGGGGACGCTGTGACCCCACCCCGCCCCCGGCCCCCACTCCAGCCTGTTGCTTCCCCCGGGCTCCAGGTCGGTTTTTCCTGGCGACTCTAGTGTGAGTCTGGGCTTCCAAACTCCTGGGATCCGGGCTCACCTCGGAATTTGCTCCCGCCTCTCGCCTGCTCCCCTCGGGCCCCAGAAAGTCGCGCGTGCCCCAGCTGTCGCCTGAGCAGCGCACTCCGGGACCGCGGGCAGCGCAGCTGCGCGGGGGGGCAGCGGCGGCGATGAAGCCGTCTTGGTTGCAATGTCGCAAAGTCACCGGCGCCGGGGGCCTCGGGGGTCCCGGGCCAGGGTCCTCTTCGGCCCGGGGAGCCGGCCCGGCCCGCCGGGCTTACGTGGCCCCCGGCCCGCGGGGCGCGCTCGGGGGCCGGGGCTGCAGGGCGCTGTCCTCGGGCGGCTGCGAGTACAAGACCCACTTCGCGGCCTCGGTGGCCGACCCCGAGAGGTTCTGGGGCAAAGCCGCCGAGCAGATCAGCTGGTACAAGCCCTGGACCAAAACGCTAGAGAACAGACACCCGCCTTCCACCAGCTGGTGAGTGACTCATTCGCCAGCCCAGAGCTCTGTTAACTTCTTGGGCACCACGGCTCGACGTCCCCTGCACCGGGAACCTGGACTTCTATTAGGAAAGAAAATCGAGGCTGGAGATATGCTCAGATCTTTCAGTTTGTGTTTAATTTCAATTTCGTAGTCAGCTCTTTTGCCTTCTCTTGAGGGATTCGGTTACCAATTGCGAGCCCAATTTCGTATAGACCAGAGATTTCCCAGTATGCCAGGGCTCAGGTTGGCACTGGGGATGTTGTGCGGACTAAGACAAGGGCTTTTCCCCAGGGACAGAACGGGGTCTAGTATGGGAGACTGACGTAAACAAATACAAGCAGTGTAATGAACTAGGGAGGTATTGCTGAGTATCCACACACTGAGGGGAGGAAGAGGGTTGAGGAAAGACTTCAATAAAATCTTACCTAAGTAGGGTTTGGAAGGATGGATATCTTCTGAAAGTCGACGAGGACCTAATTATTAAAGAACTTCAGGTGGAAAACAGGTTGAAATTTGATCGTTAGTGTGGTTGTGAATAATTGTGGTGGCTGGAGAGGTGGGGGAGGGGCTGCCGAGTCAGGGGCTGGGTTGGGAAGGGATTTATGTGTCATGCCAAGTAGCTTGGATTAGATCATAGCCGTGTATATGAAGCTACACCATGGGGTACCCAGAAAGAATGCACATACAGGCCAGGTGGTGCTAGAAATCATGGTAGGAATAAAGTTTTTTTTCTCCTAGAGTTGCAATTATAAGTAATTATAAACATTATTTTCACACAAACAGGGATACATTGTAGAATAAAGGCCAAACTTGCCGAAATATTAAGTGTGAGGCACTCAGTCTGTGAGAACTCAGCGTTGTGGCTGCTCTTTGGGCTATGTGCCTAGCCCTTAAGAGTGTGGTTGCTCTCATCTGCCAGCCATGAGGGAGAGATGTTTCCTGTAAAAGTTTGAGAAACATTGCAATGGGGTTTCCCATTCTCATTTCCAAGTTCCTAGCAGTCAGATGGAGGCATGATGTGGTCAGGTTTGTACTTGAAAAATGTCTTCTGTTGAGAGCAGAGAACCTGGAATGGAGAAGGGCAAGTAAACCAGAGCCTGTTCTGTGTCCCCATCATGCCTTGTCCTCTCCTAATTCTTTGGAATTGTTTACATGGTTTTCCCTTTAGAATCTAAGCACCTTTTCTCTTCTGGTTCCGTTTTTTCAGTAGTGTTTGACTGACCCGCTTTTACGTGCCTGGCAGGGACCCAAGCACTAGGTATATACCAGTGAGTATGTGTGTGGCCCCTGCTGTTTGGGAGTCATGATGATTAAGAGCATGGTCTCTGGGCCAGAATACTGAGTTTGAGTCTGGCTGTCCCAGTCACTGGCTGTATGTTCACAGGCAAGTTACTTAATCTCTCTGTGATTCATTTTTCTCATAACTAATTGTGGAAATAGTACGAGGATTAATTGAGTAAAGGATTAAGACCATGTCTTGAGTGAAATAGACCCTATAAAAGTTAGAGAAAGAATAGCTATCTTTGCACTCGCATACTACAACTATTTTAGGAGCAGGAAACCCTCCTAGTGTTTCTCAGACCAAAACACAGAGGCTATTGCCTCTCCTAAAAGTATATTCTTAAAGTTCTGTGTCCACATATCTGTCATGAAGTATGGTATTGAAATTATTTATGTGACCATCCCTCCCATAAAATCATGTGGAGAGAACTCAACTAAGAAGTTACTGGGATATTCCAAGTAAAAACCAATGAGGGCCAGACACAGAGCGGTGGCAGTGGCAATGGAAGGAAAAGGACAGATTTCTAGAGGCTTAGCTGGGGTCTGCGAGGGCCCAGGGGAGTGCAGAGAATTGGAAGTCAAAGTGCCCATCAAATAGACATTTAAGACCTAGCGATTTTCTAACTTTTTTCTTCTTAATCTCTAGGTGCTTGCCTAAACTTTCTAAAATTGTGTGCATAAAATGTTATTTCATTTGAGAATTTTTGCCAAAGGTTCCTTGTATTTTTAAAAATTCAGTACATTGTAGGGCCAGCCCGGTGGCGCAAGCGGTTAAGTGCGCACGTTCTGCTGCGGCGGCCCGGGGTTCACCGGTTTGGATCCCGGGTGCGCACCGACACACCACTTGTTAAGCCATGCTGTGGCGGTGTCCCATATAAAGTGGAGGAATATGGGCATGGATGTTAGCACAGGGCCGGTCTTTCTCGGCAAAAAAGAGGAGGATTGGCATTGGATGTTAGCTCAGGGCTGGTCCTCCTCACAAAAAAAAAAAAAAAAAAAAAAATTCAGTACATTGTAGATTACCGACATTTGGTAATACTGTATCTGAATTCTTCATCTTTGAACTTTTGAACTCTTGGAATCATGTGGCCATACCTGTTTTATCAGCCCAAAAGATCAAAGTGAATAAGAGATAAGTCTTTGAGGCTGTATTTATTATTTCAGCAGTGTGATTCAATCTTACTGAGAAATTTGGTCGGCAGAGCAGGGCTGGGGAGGGAAGTAGAGCTGGTGAGACCATACATCTAATCTTAAACTTCATTCAATAAGTCATTTCAGTTTGAATCCATTACTGTGTTGGATACCTATTTGCAGATACTCCTCATTGGTTAACAATTTTCTACAAAGCTAAACTCAGGGGCTGGGTCAATGTCTTTTTTTTTTTTTCTCTTTACCTCTGTAGGGTCTAGGACAGAGCTGATATATAAGTTTTAAAAATGATAGTCAAATAACAGGGTACATAGATCTGATGATTTTGTGATTTTGTCTTTGGGAAGTGGTAAGTGGTTACAGGCACAATTGATGTGAAGGAGCTTTGCTTATTTTCTTTGAAGCTGGGATCTGGGGAAGGGAGCTGTTGAAAGCCAAGTCCTTAAGTAAAATGAGGACGGATTGCCACAGCCAATTGTTCTCTCCCAGAGGGAGCTGACATACGTGTAGTCAAGATCTCAGATGCCCTTTGGCTTCCCAGAGGCAAGAGAGATTCTCCTTCTTCATTATAAGCTTGTCTTTTTGTTTTTCATGAAAGAAAAATCCCCTCCAAAACTACAGGCCTATCAGAAGCCCTAGCACATAAATAGTAATGTGTATTCGCTTTCACAATGGCATAAACTACCCACTAGTAGTTTACATATGCAGTAGTATGAACATGGGATAGAAATTTCTAAGGGTGATATACTGAAGGGACTTTCCATTGTAGTGAACAGCCCTGTAAAATACATATCTGGTACTGCAATCCCTGAGATCTTTGGAAAACAAATCCCAATTACATGTAGGTGCTTTAGGAACTTGTGAATAAACGCGTTTCCTCACAGGTTAGTGGTTGATTTACGTTGTTGACACCTGGCTTTTGGGGTCATGAAGTCTCCACTATAGAGACTTCAGTGGAGGACTGCAATCAGAGATGAAGCCATCAGAACTCTGAGTAATTTCGCTAATCCTGGAACAACAGAATGAATGTTTTGGTTATTTTTTCCTGTTGAATTAGACATCCAGCTGCCTATCCTGAAATTGAAATCTAGCCACCACTCTCTGAAGGATTAGGCAATTCACTTTTGTGTTACACATTGTGGTTGATTCTTCTGCCTGGGTCATTAGTTTATCCCTTTCTGTGGAAGCATTGCAATTCCATTTTAGTTTTATTTTTATGTAAACAACATTCAATGATAAGGCTCTCATTGAGAGTCTATCTATTTGATTTGAGAGTCATACTATTTGATTTAGAATTTAATATGTATTAATAGTGACTATAAGCTGAAAAGGAAAAGACTCCAACTGAATGCAGATTATTAGAAAATGATTTCAGCTTGGTTAGCATTTCTATAAGGGAAATAGTGTAGATTTTTCAATGTGCAAGATCTCAGTTACTTACTAGCTATGAGATAAAAGTTGTATAATCCCTCCAAGTCTTAAAATGGCTCATAAAAGTTAAAAGCATCAATCATTCACTCACTGTGTGTATAGTACAGAGAAAATGATGAAGGAGATACTGAAGGAACTCACCACACGGCAGCAGGGGAGATAGAAGTACATTAAATCATTACAAAACCATTTATTTAGAGTTACATTAGATGCTAAGAAATGCAGTGGTTAATGGGGGATTTAACATAGTCTTCTACAGAAGGATCATGGAAGGGGTCTTGAGAAAATGATGTTTAAACTGCGATCACAGTGAATAGGGATTAGACGTGAGAAGTGGGGAGGAACATTCCAGGCAAAGAAAACAGCATATGCAAAGCTCATGAGGTATGAAGTAGCTCAGTAAATTCTAGAAACTGAAAGAAGGCTAATGAGGCTGGTGCTTAAGGAATGACAGGGAAATGATGAAGAAAGGGAAGACGAGAGCTATATTGTGAAGGGTCTTGTGAGTTATGTTAAGGATTTTAAAATTTTTTCCTGGCACATGACACATGTCACATAATGGATGACCAAAACATGAATTTTCCACTCTTCTTTCTGCACTAGAACAAGATAAGTTTGAGTTCAACCCCAGCTCTGCCACTTACCTTGAGCAAGCTTTAATATCTTCATTTGCAAAATGAGACTAATGATAATATCAATTTCTTAGGATTAAATGGGGGTGAGGAGAACACAGGAACTTGTAAAATGTCTAGGACTGTGCCTGACACACAGTACTAGGTATTAATGTCTTTGGAATATGGAAGAGATATTCCCATAAGCTAATGTGGTCCAGGAAGTTTTCAGAGAAATGGTAGCATTTGAACTGGATCTTAAAGTAGGACTTAGAGAGGAAGAAAAACATTTTTGTGTGGGGAACAAGCATGACAGAGAGAAAGAGGTGAGAAAGAACTGAGCGTGCTTGGAGGATAGTTTAGTAGACCGGTTGGCTTGTAGTGGTTATTTTGAGTTAGTAGTACTCAAATTCAGAAGGTTGTTTCAGGCTGGCTGTAGAAGGCTGGAGTAGTAAGCTAAGGCAGTTGCGTTCACTCCTTAGGCTACAAGTCACAATCTGACTGTAGGCCTGCAGATAGGTT